AGAGAGAAAGAGAGAAAAAGAGAAAAAGAAAGAGAGAAAGAGAGAAAGAAAGAGAGAAAGAAAGAAAGAGAAAGAGAGAAAGAGAGAGAGAGAAAGAGGAGTAAAGGGAAGGAAGGAAGGAAGGAGGGAAGGAAGGATGGAAGGAAGAACAGAAAGGAAAGAAGGAATGAAGGAAAAGCATACCGACTATGTGCCCACAAAGTGCTGGAAATAGGACCATAAGAAAGGTCATTGTGGATCTCAAACGAGATAATGTAAATAAAAGTACTTTGCAAACCTTTAAGGCTAAATAAATGTTAGCTATTGCTACAAATCTCCTCTCATGTCCATATCACAGTATAGCACCCAATCATTCAATAAATGGTTACTGGGCACCTACTTACTGCCAAGCAATGTGTTAAACACTGGGGATATAAAGAAAGGCAAAAACTCTCTGTTCTCAAAGAGTATAGTGTCTTGCACATAGTAGGAGCTTAATAAATGTTTGTTGATTGATTGAATATTGACTGATATATTGGGTGACGTTTAAAAGGTAGCAGTGAAAATTTAATATTTTTTTAAACAGAAGCCAACTTTTTAAAAAAAATCTACGATGTTCCAAAACGATTTTTTCCCCCAAAGTGTTCTTCAGGTGATTTTTTAAAAAAAATGCTCATTAAATTCTAATGTTATATAAGCTAGACTGTTTAAGTTATTATGTCACTCAGAGGAGATACCATGCATGTGATAACCACAGACTCAACACCCTAGCCAGCCTGAGCTGGCGATTCTCTCTTTTTTCCACATCAAGCTGCCTTACCTGAGAGTTGACCAGGCGAAACGTCGTCTTCTGTCCTACATCCTGCTCAAATTTTCTTGTGGGTGCCCCATTAAACCTCATGACGGCATCATGACTGTCTGTAAAGCACAGGAATATGGAAGAGACAGGTGAGTGAGCTAACAGCCAGGACAGGCAGGACTGAGGAGACCATGGTGAAGGGGAGAGGTGACAGGGGTTTTCCACTGTGCTGTCACAATGACAACCTGGAAAGCTGCCCAAGGATCCCGAGACCACAGAACATTAGTGTCACAAGGTACCAAAGGTGTCATCTGGCCTAGCTTCCTCATCTCACAGATGCGGAGACTGAGACCAAAAGAACTGAGGTGGTTTAGAGCTGAAAGGGACTTCCAGATTCATCTCGTCCAACCAATCCCACATTTTACAGAGGAACACCTTGAGACCCAGAGAGCCCAAGTGACTTATCCACACTCAGACAGCTGGCTGGAGTCAAAGCAAGGATTAAAACTCAGAACCACTGACTGACTCTTCATCCCATCCTCTCAGAGCTGAAAACAAGTTCTCTGGTTCCTCAGTGGTTTGTTTTTTTTAGAAAGCTATTCCTTAAAATCAAATCCTTTAATTCAGTGAAAATTAAAGGACCATCACCATTTAAAATTAATTAGTGAATTAGAATAATAAAGAGTAGCATGGGAAGACTTGTAAGAACAGAGGCAGTGAAGGAAGGTGTCTTAGTGTGAAGGAAGGTGGCCGGAATTATCAAAACAATCTGGTACTGGCTAAGAAATAGAGTGGTGGATCAGTGGAATAGATTACGGACACAATACAAAGTAGTAAAAGACCACAGTAATCTATGACAAACCCAAAGATCCAAGATTTTGGGATAAAAAAATCACTATTTGACAAAAATTGTGGGGAAAATTGGAAAGCAGCTAGGCAAAAATTAAGTAGAGACCAATATGTCACACTGTATACTGAGATAAGGTCAAAATGAGTACATGATTTAGATACAAAGGGTGATATAAGCAAATTAAGGGAGCATGGACTATTTTACCTGTCAGAATAATGGATATGGGAAGAATTTATGACTGAAAAAGAGACAGAGAACATTATAGGGTATAACGTGTATAATCCTGATTGTATCAAATTAAAAAGGTTTGGTACAAACAAAATCAATGCAGCCAAGATTGAAAGGAAAGCAGGAAACCAAGAAAAAATATTTATGGCAAGTTTCTCTGATAAAGGCCTCATTTTTCAAATATACAGAGAACTGAGTCAAGTCTATAAGAATATGATTCTTATTCCCCACTTGATTGGGGAATTCCCCAATTGATTCCCCATTTGATAAATGGTCAAAGGATATAAACAGGCAGTTTTCAGATGAAGAAATCAAAGCTATCTACAGTCATATAAAAAAATGCTCTAAATCACTGTTGACTACAGAAATGCAAATTAAAACAACTCTGAGGTACCACCTCACACCTATCAGATTGGCTAATCTGACAGGAAAGGAAAGTAAATATTGGAGGGGATGTGGAAAAATAGGGACACTAGTGCACTGTTGGTGGAGTTGTGAACTAAACCAACCATTTTAGAGAGCAATATGGAATTATGCCTAAAGGGCTACAAAACTGCACATCCTTGGACCTAGAAGCAATGCTACTACCAGATCTATATCCCAAAGAGATTAAAGACAAAGGAAAAGAAGCTTCATGCACAAAAATATTTATAGAAGCTCTTTTTGTGATGGCAAAGAATTGGAAATTGAGGGGATAACCATCAATGGGAGAATGGCTGAACAAGTCGTGGTGCATGATTGTGATGGAATACTGTCGTGCTCTAAGAAATGACAGGCAGGATACTTTCAGAAAAACCTGGGTAGACTTACATGAACTGATACAAAGTGAGCAGAACCAGGAGAACACTGTACATGGTAACAGCAATATTGTATGATGAACAATTGTGAATGACTTAGCTCTTCTCAGCAATGCAATGATCCAAGACAATTCCAAAGGACTCATGATGAAAAATGCTGTCCCCCTCCAGAAAAGGAACTCACGGCATCTGAATGCAGATGGAAGCCGACTTTTTTTCCACTTTCTTTATTATTCTTGACTTGTTTGTTTTTGTTGTTGTTTTTGGGTAGTGTTTTCTTTTGCAACATGGCTAATATGGAAATGTTTTACATGACTGATCGTGTATAATCTATATCAAATTGCTTGCCTTTTCAAGGAGGGGGATTAGGAGGGAAGGAGAAAAAATATGGAACTCACATTTTTTAAATGAATGTTAAAAATTGTGTTTACATGGAATGGAGAAAAAATAAAAATTAAATGTTAAAAAAAGGAATAGAGGCAAAGTAAAGTGAGCAGAACCAGGGAAACAACATAAACATAACGGCAACAATGATAAAATGGAAAGGATAATAGCATCGAAAAAAGGGAAATGGAATACAGCAAACTCATTGTCCCCAGTGAAGAGACAGGTCTCTGCAGAGGTAGGGGGCTATGTCTGTGGAATATTGCATATAATGCAGTATTTTTTGATATGTTGGTTGGTTTTGCTGAAGTTTCTTCCTGTTTTTTCGATTCTTATGAGGAAGTACTCTATTTTGCTAAAAGAAAGAGAAGTAGCTAAATAATCAGGGGATTTGTGGAATTGAACCTCAGTGGACTACATTTCTGATCTTGGGAAAATCCTTAAAATTTCCTGGGCTTTAGTTTCTTCATTTGCAAAATGAAGGGGGTTGGTCTTCAAGGCCTCTTCCAGTACTAGATCCATGACCCTATTTATGTGGCAATTAAAGCCCTTCGCAACCTTTCCAGTCTTGTTAAACATCCCTCCCCTTCTTGTGTCTATGGTTCAGCCAAAGTGGCCTTCCGGCTGTTCCTCCCACATATAACCCTCTATTTCCCCTCTCCATACATCTGCACTGGCTATCTCTCATCCCTGGAATTTACTTCTTCTTCATCTCTGCCTGTTAGAATTCTTCCTTTCCTTTAAAGTTCAATTCCCTGACCCTTCTGGACACTGGTGCCTTCTTCCCTCAAGAGAATCATCTTGTATATATTTTGCATATAATTTTACATATACACCTTGACTCCACTATTAGAATATAAGTGCCTTGAAGGCAGGGACTATTCAATTTCTGCCTCTGTATCTCAGGCTCAGCCCAGTGCCTAACAAGCAGAAGGTAATCAATATTTGTTGATCTTCTGGCAAAATAAATTCAATTGGAAGGAACTACCTGTGTGTCTCTTCCTACCTTTGCCTTCACATTCCCTTTCTAACTTTAGGAAGGGGTCAAAGACATTGGCTTTTCCTTACTGCAGGGAAAGCCGACTGGATTCCTAGGCCCACAGATGTGGATCTGACCTCAGAGTTCATCTGGGCAACACATGCATTTTACAGTTGAGGAAAATGAGGCCCGACAAAAGGAAATGACTTGCCCAGAGTTACAAGGTCATAAACGACAGGGACAGGATTTGAACCCAGGTCCTCTAACTCCAAATGCAGGGTTCTTTCCTCTGTACCACCATAGCTTATGCCTACCTCAGTGCACGATGCTTGGAAAAGAAGGCCTCACTCTGCATCCATCAATGGAGTGAAGTCTTCTCTGAACCTCAAACTCTTTCCCAGCAACAATTATACCATCTACTTGTTGTTCAGTGGGGTTTCGTTTAGTTGTATCTGACTCTTTGTGACCCCATCTGTGATTTTCTTTGTGATAAAGGTCCTGAAGTGGTTTGCCATTTCCTTCTCTAGCTCATTTTACAGATGAGGAAACTGAGGCAAACAGGGTGACTAAGTGACTTGCCCAGGGTCACACAACTAGTAAGTGTCTGAGGCCAGATTTGAACTCAGGAAGATGAGTTTTCCTGACTCCAGGCCTGGCGCTCTATGCACTATGGCACCACCTAGCTGCCCATTTACTACATCTACCACTTACTATAGCTTGTCAATTCTTCCTTCCTATGTCCCTTTCATGCTTTTACCACACACATTCATCAAAGTGATGAACAATCCCCTAAAATATTTTAACAATCCTCTAATTTTTCCTGTAGAGTTGGCATAATACAGTGGTCAGATAGCTGACCTGGGAGCTAAGAAGACCTGGGTTCAAGTCCCACTTCTAACACACACCAGCTGTGTAACCCTGTGCAAATCACTTAACCTGTCAATGCTCTAGGCAACTTGCTAAGACTCAATGTTGCAGAGAAGTGCCCTGGTGGAGATAAGTCCCACATCCTGGCGTTCCTTGGATCAAGGGATCTGTAGGTCCACTCCTCCAGATTCTGCTCCTGCCTCAATATGTACTATACACCACTGCCTGATGGATCTTCCTGAAGGATGACTCTGATCCTTTTATTCTCCTACTCCCTAATTGCCAATGGCTCCCCACTGCCTACTGAAAGAAGTCCAGACTTCTTAGCCAGTGTCTCCACCCATCAAGATATAATTCGCTTTGTAACTGACACTGTTGTCCATTATTGTGTGACCACCTCATGGCCATAGAGCTTATCTCTTCAATGGAGGGGTCATGAGCCAAGGCAAGGATCAGACAGCGCTTTGATCGATACTCGTGGCCTCATCAAGGCCATAATAAACCAAACGAGGCAACAGTATGTGAATTGCTGGCTTCCTCTCCGAACCCAGAGTTCTCCATTCCCATTGCCCAAAGCACAGAGGCCCTCCCCAGATTCCCCATTCAGGTCTCCCCTCCTTAATCATTTACCTCGCCACCACTAACATGGCTTCCTACCACCACCCTCTTTCCCTTTTCCTCCTTGTCCTCCTGTCCCAAACATCATCTCCTTGGGCCCAGATTAGTTCTGACTTCCAAGATGAAAATCGGCAAATCTGATAAACTCACTGTGCTGATGGGCTAAGGGGGAAAATTATAGTCTCCTCGGGACACTCCCTCCTATTAGAAGACACACAAAGGGGATCGATCAGAATAAGGGCCTTCCAGAGACAAAGAACAAGGATTACTTGGCCTTTCTATGGAACTGTAATAACTTCCATGAAGTATTTAAACATCAATATCTATCATTTCCTCGGTGATCAAACCCTTTTATGGCGTGTTTTTGTGACCGTACTGTTACTTCACTGGTACAAGGAACTCCCGGTGGGTAGACTCCCTCCCTCAACTCAGGTGTGCCCCTGCTCTTTCTTAGAGTCTTAGAACATTGCCTGGGGGCACCTCTCCTGGAAAGAAGGCTAGAATCCAAGGATCTGGGCTTCAAGCCCCAACCCTGACACTATTTGTACAAGCCTAACACAGACCCCCACAAAACTATGAAGCAAATTATTTCTTCGTTTCTGCATCTGAAATTATGATGAAAGCAAGTGATGAAAGAAGACTTGTTATACAAATATCCTTAAGTCTGCAAGTAAGTTTTCAGAAATACATCAGAGGTAGCTTGGGGGAGTAGCTAGGTCAGTGAGTCAGTCAACAAGCACTTATTATGCCCGGCACTGTGCTGAACGCCAGGGATACAAAGAAAGGCAAAAACCGTCTCTGGCCTCAAGAAGCTTACGATCTAACGGGAGAGCCGACATGTAAAGAATCGGGTCCATCCACGACCTATGTAGAGTGGAGGTAAGATAAGGTGAGAGACAGGAGGTGCTTGCAGTAGGGGGTACTAGGAAAGGCTGCCTGCATATAGTGGGACCTCAGCAGAGTCCTGAAGGGAGTCAAGGTACGGCTCTCGACATCAGGAAGACTTAGTTTTCTAAGCCCACCTCCACTGAAAACTAGCTGTGTGGCTTTAGGCAAATAACTTCACCTCCTTTTTGTGCCCCACTTTCATCTAAAAATTGAGGCAGTTGGACTGCTTGGCTATGAAAGTCACTTTAAGTTCTAAACCCATGATCCTAGAATCACACCCCACCACAAAAAAAAAACCAACGGAAATCACAAAAACTAGTTAATAATCACACAAGGCCTATCAGAGAGCGAGTGACCTCTGCCTCACAGAGTACTGGAAATGGAAGAGACTTTACACCCTCGTTTTACACAAGGGGAAATTCTAGCCTACGGAATTGAAATCACCCACCCAGACTGACACAGATCTTCGATGGCAAGGCCGGAACTCGAGCCACGCTCTGCCGAGTGCCGGCCGGGGTTAGAACTCTAATTGCCTTTCCACTCCTCTTCCCACAAAATAATCACTTGTAGGGATTCACTTATAGTGAAGACTAAAAATGGCAGGGGAGAAGGGGCTCAACAAAACTAACCAATATTGGAAAAAGCCTGACATGATGTGCTGTCTTCCACACCCATACTCTCCCATCTTCGCAAAGAGGCAAGGACAGGCACTTTCTCCTGTCTCTTCTTGAGGCTAAGCATGGTCATCAGCATTTCACAGCATCTTAATAAATAAACACTGATCTGAAAATTCACAAAAATAAATCTTGAAGACTGCTTCTCATCTCTTGGCAGACGGGTAGGGAAACACACACCGGCCGATGTCTTCAGAGTGTTTGTTTATTTTGCTTGCCTGTTTTTCTTTGTTACAAAGGAGGCTTTTCTATTTGGGCTCAAATTATGGAGTCATGATATTAATGAGAAAAAAAAAAGTTCATCAATCAACCATTAAAATACACAGAAGAAAACCAAGAGATATTCTGAGGGATACAAATAGGGCAATTTTATTACTGCCATGTTAACTAAAATTTTTTTTCTTTGTTTTTATTGTGAAATTGACACGCATGAAATACTTCCATAAACAAAGAAACAGAGAAAGAGACTTCTCTATGAAAACGTGACTACCTATTGAAGAGTTTTTGGTTTGGGAAACATATGAAATTTACCATTTATGCCTCCCTGCTTCTCCGTATTCCTTACTGAGGTTCCTTCTACTCTTTACTTGTTAAAAATCTCCTTTGCTGAATACGTACCTTTTAAAAACAAACTGTCCATGACCAGAGTTCACAGCGGCATATACAAACCCATATGGGGGGGGGGGTTATTTGGAGGCTGTAATATCTGTGTTCACCAATGAATGTTAAGTTCATAATCCATTTCTGTAACTCATCTTGGCAGTTCCTGTTTGTAAACAATGTCTGCTTGGGAAGGGGGAGTGGGGGAGTGTGATTTCATCATCTCTACTGAGCAGTGATCCCAAAGGGGCCCCATTTTTCCCTCCTTTGTCCTCCTGCATTTGCCATGAGAACTGTTTTCCTGGCTTTCCATTTAAGAAGGAGAGACATATGACATCATCACCTGCTCTATTACCTCCCTTGCCTTGCCTCACCCCCCTCTTCACCCCCACGTCTCCATCCTTCTAAGATCATAATTTCCCCATTCACTATTTGCCTTGGCTTGATTCATTTCAATGAGTGATGAAAAACATTCCCACTAGAAATAAGGCATTGAACATAACCAGACATTCTGTGTTGTATGCATTCTCTCACTGCCACGCAAAATGTCTCTTCCAGAATGAAGTCTAGTCAAATTGGACTCAGGAAAACCTGGTTCAAATCCTGCCTCAGACACTTATGAGCCATCTAACTCTCAAGCCACTTGAACACTCCTGGCCTCAGTTTCCTCATCTGTAAAATGAGGGGGTTAAAATCAACGATCCACATGGCTGAAGATTTCAGAAAAAAACAAACAGATTTCTCTGGGCAGTTCTAGTCTCAGTTCAAATCTCACCTTCTTAAAAAAAGCCTTTCCCAATCCTACTTGAATCTAATGCCTTCCCCCTGTCATTATCTTCTATTTCTCCTGTCTCTATATCTTGTCTGGACACAGTTGTTTGCATTACATTGTAAGCTCCTTGAGAGCAGGGATTGTTTTTGCCTTTCTTTGTATTCCTGGCACTCACCCCAGTGCCAGGTATGCAACATGTGCTTAATAAATGCAAGTTGCTCTGATTTGACTTCAGCTAAGAGGAGGACAAATGAATTATCTGGGGAGCCAGAGCTTAAAGATCAGTTTTGCCTCAATTGTTGGTTTGTTTTTCCAGTGAGGTCCTAGAGTTTGGGCCCTGGAGAGTACCTGAGCCATCATCTAACCCAACTCCAGGAAACCAAAGCCCCAAGAAAGCAAGTGACTCGCCTGAGATCACACTACTTAGTGGCAGAGTCAAGATAAGAACCCAGGTTTCCCTGCTCCGTCAACTATCAAAACGGCCCGTGACTCCAATGCACGGAGCTGACATTTGTAAAATGCTCACCTATTTCCCTGCCCAAGGACGAAGCCTTCAGGGATCCAGCAGATGACACGACAGCACACGTGCCCAGCTGCCCCACGCCGTCTCTGATATTCTTCAGAGGCAGAGAGCTTTCCCACTCGGAGGTGTTGAAGGGGAAGTCCGTCCCCTCTATCATGCTGACTTTCACTCGATTTGCAAGCTGACACAGCAAGGCACTGAGGTTAAGCTTCTCCAACTGGCGCTCCCCTTTAAAGGTCACGTTGTACTTGTTCATGTGCAGGTAGTTCTTCCTGACCTTCTGCAGCCGGGGAGGAAGGTTCTTGGAGGAGCTGTCCTCATCCCAGACCTTGGCGTTGAACCTCTCAGCTCGGGATCTGTCTCTCGGAGAGTTCGTCCCTGCTGTCATGTACACAGGCTTGGAATCCAACCTCCTAGCCAAAAACTGCAGGTTCCTGGGCAGCGGGAAGTTTTTTGATTCCAGTTTCAGGGAAACAGAGTACCCTTTCTTTGATTCATTCCACAGACAGATGGTAAGGAAGAGGAGGAAGCCTATGAGCCCATACGCAACCTTCTTTAGGAAGTTGATATGGACCATGCTGAAGCACAGAGTGTCCCTGGGCACAGGGTAAGAAATCACTCCTAGAAGTTGGAGAAGGGAAAAAATAATAAAAAGATATTCTCAGTCACACAGGAACCATCCATGGTCACCAAAACAAACAACAGGCTGGTCTCTCAACCCTTATAAAGTAATCAGGAAGAAATGACCCAACATGTCAGCCTCAGACTTCTGGGGGAGGGAGAGTCAGTGAGTAGTGATAGAGATGCAAAAAAAAAAAAAAAAAAAAGGAAAAAAGAAATGAGAATATCAACAAAAACATTAAAAACTACACAGAAACAAAAACAAAAAGAAATTTAGGAGGGGATACAGACCAAACAAACCAGGGCAATTTTGTTATTACTTTGTTTTATCAGATCTATTTTACTGATATCTTTTGCTTACGTCGCCCAGGTTTCCCTCCATATCTTTTCTTCTCCCTCTTCTCAAAGGGCCATTCCTTATAACAAAGATTTTTTTAAATTAATTTATTTTGAATGATCAACAATCACTTCCATAGGCTTTTGAGTTTTAAATTTTTCTCCCCCTCCCTCCCCACCTCTCTCCCCAAGACAGCGTGCAATCTGATACAGGCTATACACATACATTCCTATTAACCATATTTTCACATTAGTGATGTTGTAAGGAAGAATTAGAACCAATAGGAGGAACCACCAGAAAGAGGAAACAAAATACAACAGAAGAAAAAAAATATCAAATAGTGTGCTTCGATCTGCATTCAAACTCCATAGTTCTTTCTTCTTTGTGGTTAGCACTTTCTATCATGAGGCCTCACAAAGATTTAAAAAAAGAAAAGAATAGAAAAACAAGGAAGAGAAAAAATCAGCAATATCATTTAACACATCAAAAAAAAAAACCCAAAACCTGACAACATATGTATCGCTCCCCACCTGTGCACCTGCAAAGGCTGGGGAGGAGTATATGTTGCCAGATCTCTTCATTAGGATCGACTTTTTTCTTTCTAAGTTTGCACCATTCATTTTTTATTGTTTTGTGTGGCTGTCCTCATTTACCCTGCTGTGGTCCTTGTAGACATTGTATTCTTGGTTCCTGTTAACACTTTGTTAAATTTAATATACAAAAAAAGAAAGAAAAGAAAAAAGCAGATTCTGTTCCTAGAATTTGTTGCCTTCTCTCTTTGTTCATCTCTATATAACAAATATTAATGTTTTTGATGGCTGCAATATTAATAATTTTTTAAAAACAGGAAAAAACATGGCAGCTACTGAACCTCGCCGCCCACTTCTCCACGTAGCCTGTGGCCTAGTGTTTGACACCTCTAGGACTGAGGACACTCTTACTCAGGTCTCAGTTGGATGAAATGACTAGTGAGGTGGTTTTTGACTCTGAAATTCTAGGAGTCTATGGTTCACTATTGGGCAATGGCTTTTGAATTAGGAAGATCTGGGAAAGACCTCTGAAATTTGCAGCTTCCATGACCGTGAACCTCAGTTTCCTCCCGTGTAAAATAAGGGCACTGAATGAAAGGGCCTGTAAGATCCCTTCTAACTTTAGATCAATGGTTCTGTGACCATGAAGTCCTTTTGAAAGCAGGAGCCTAAAAATAGGCCCTCCTAAAGGTAAGGACACAGAAATTGGGGATAAGACCGAAGAAAGCAAGACTAGTTCTTCTAAAGTTCCGGTACCTAGAATCGCTTTTAAAGAAGGCGTTTCCCTCTTGCTTTCGTATAGGTGGTTGACTCTGGATGTGAGACATGACGCATAATGCCATGCTTGGTTGATGCGCAGATTAGTTTTACTGAACTGAGTTTCTTTCCCTTCTTTGCCTTCTTTGTTTGAAGGGATGGCTCTCTGGAAGGAGGAGGGCAAGCTGCAGTGGAAAATGTAAATGGTAGCAAAGAAATAAAAATAAAAATAAATAAAAGAGAATCTCTTCCCGTCAATGCTGGCAGAAAGCAATGGATCAATGGGATGGCCTTGAACCATCTCCCTGGATACTGGAATGGCAGTCAATTTTCTCCATATTTGTTGTGCAACTGTTTAAGAGCTTTGAGTACTTTGAACTCAAATAGTGTCCAGTACAGGATCTGCAAGGGGGCCAAGATGGCTCTCTCTTTGAGCGGCACCATTCTTGAACTGGGAATGTCTCATGTAGTGAAACTTTTCCCAGTCCTCCTTCCCCTAGCACCTTGCTCCTCTCTGCTGATTATCTCCAATTTTTCCTGTCCGAATCTCGTTTTTACAAAGCTTCTGCATGTTGTCTCGCCCATTAGACTATGAGATCCTTGAGCAGGACTGTCTTTTGCATTTCTTTGCCTCCCCAGCCCTTAATACAGTGCCCAGCACACTGTTGTTCAGTCATTTCAGTTGTGTTCGACTCTTTGAGACCCCATTTAAGGTTTTCTTGGCGAAGATACTATAGTGGTTGGCCATTTCCTTCTCTGGCTCATTTGACGGATGAGGAAACTGAGGTAAACAAGGGGTTAAGTGACTTGCCCAGGGTCCCACAGCTATCAAGTGTCTGAGGCCAGATTTGAACTCAGGAAGAGGAGTCTTCTTGACTCCAGGCCTGGTGCTCTATGCACTATGGAACCACCTAGCTGCCCAGCACACAGTAGGTGCTTAATAAATGCTAGCTGAATAACTGAGTGATGAGCTGAACTAGATGGTCTCTAAGGTCCCTTCCAGCTCTCGATCCAGGATTCTCTGACTTCTCTGAACCTCAGTTTCCTCACCTGTAAGATGAAGGGGTTGAGGTACACGGCTTCGAAGGGCTCTACAAATCTGTGATTCCATGGCCGGGGCTCAAATCCTGGCTCTGCTATTTGCTGCCTGTATTACCGTGGGGAAAAGTCACTTCATCTCAGTTTCCTCACCTGTAAAATAACTGGACTGTTGGGTCCCACCTGGCACTAAAGCTGTGCTCTGTAATCCTCAATAGGCGTAATAAGGCTGTCTACCCCACAGGGATACTGTGGGGAGGGGAGGAGATAACATACATAAAAATGTTTGGTAAACTACAAGGTGTGATACAAGCACATAGCAGAAGAATATTCTTATAGTTGTCATCACTACAGAAAACATCAGTCTCTCTATCTCCGTTTTATTTCAAAAGCAAATTGCCCGGCCCCGGGAGGGTAAAGAGAAACTGGGAAGACAGTTCACTTTGCTGCTTGGAAGCTGATGGGAAACCCTATCTGATTTAAAGAAGGCAGTATGGAACAGTGGAAAAAAGAACAGACTGGAAACCTATGAATTCTTCAATTTCCTCCCACTTCTAAAATTCCCAATATGACTACCCCAATAACGCAGGAGTTTCAAAATTCCTAAAGTACGCCAGGCAAAGAGATGTAGCAAAGGGAAACGGAAGCTGCCTTGGGAGTGAATATTTCCCTGGTCGAGACATGTTTGCATCAGGGGGCTTGAAATTGAATGAGTATGCGATGGCTACGGTTGAGTGTGTTTGCACTTGTGAAAACGAGATAAAGGAGTGAAAAAGGAAAGTGAGAGGACAGTGTTCTCAGGAAGCTGTGAAATTCTACTTTAGAGGGAACCTCTCATCTCAACACAGGGAATTAGGGAGCTCTAGAGCTGTCTTAACAGCAAAAAGGTGGCCCAGAGGACTGCCACTGGAAAGACCCAAGAAGACCATAAAAGTGTGGAATTCTGGGAGGAAGCCAGACGTTGATGAGGGTCAAGAACCAGGAATTGGGATGCCCAGAAGAGACCATCGAATCTAAAAGCAGAATTAAGGAAAAGGCTGTTATCTCCTTTTCTGCAAACCCCAACCCCATGTGCCCATTACCTGCAGCTGGTTAATGCCCTCACACCAGTAGCAATGTGCTCACATCCTCAGGAATGGGCAGGATTTCTTTGGAGACAAGTGGCCTCCCCATCTGGGCCTAACAGAGATCATAAAGTATCTGCAAAGGGAGAGAAGCAAGGAAAGCCCCGCTGTGAGCTGTCCTGCCCCTGGACCTAGGAGGGGGAGGAGGGGGCTGGACCTGGATGGCCCAGGAGGAGACAACAGGTGCCTGCACCCACTCAGACAGGTTAAACATTAACAGCGCCAGAATACCCTCACAATGGTCTCTAATCTTCGGATCGCCCAGAGGACACGGTTAGCATCTTCCATCAGCAGGGGGACAGATGTAACATAGAGAGACAGCACACAGACTGCATTCTCCCAGACACTGGAGAGCCAGCTCAGAACTAGGAAAGCCTGGGTGTGGTCCCGCCTCTCCCACATCCTGGCTGGGTGGCTCTAGGCACGCCTCTGGACCTTCAATGCTCTTGGCCACCCCCTCATACTGTACATTTCAGAGAGGGTGCCAACCTGCACTTTTAGAAGGGGCTTTCTTAATCTGAGAGGCCGCGATGAAAGAGAATCAGGGTTAGGTTATCATCCCTGTTCGATGAGCCCCTAAAAGGCCCACACAGCACAGCTGTCCCGTCGCTAAATCAAAATGCCAATAATAGCTAATATTGGTATAGCACTTTACATCCTGCAAAGCGCTTTCTAAGCAGGCTCTTCTCCTTCATTCTCAAAAAGGACACACCCTACACCCCGCTTTCTATGTATTATCTCGTCAGATCCTCACAATAATTTTGTGGGAGAGGTGCTATGTTTAAAAAAATAAATGTTTATTGATAGCTTCTGCTTTTATGTCACCCACATCTCCTGATACATCCTGCCATCTCCTAGGGAGCCATCTTTATAACAAAGAACAGAATGGGGGGGGGAATGGCTCAGCAAAAAGCTAACCACCCAGTTGTAAAAGTCTTGACATTTTATGACGTTCCACACTTGGGGTCTCCCACCTCTGCAAAGAAGTAGGGTGAGGTGCCTCTGTGTAGCAAAAACTGAACACAAGAAGAAATAATAGACATTCTGTCTAGGATTCAATCCACCAAAGGTAAGTGCTACTATTATCTCCATTTTGCAGATGGTGAAACTGAGGCTGAGAGAGATAAAGTGACTTGCCCGAGGACACACAACCAGTAAATGTCTGAGAAGACGATGGGCACAGGTCTTTCTGACTCCAAGTCCACTGCTCTGTCC